TTTATCTTTATAAAAGCAAGTGTATTGGGGATATTTGAAAAAGTCAAATTAAAATCAGAAACATATCGAACGTTTGCAGGATCGGGAAAGAAACCTGACCAAATTGGGTACTGAATAACAGAAAAAAGTGTGAGAATTTAAAATTAATAATATATTATTAAACTAATATTTTATATAGTTTAGGTGTAAGTAAAATTCTCTATTGAGCTGAAATAATTCTTTTAATTTTTTCTTTTAAATTTGCATAAACCTAGGAGAAATATTTTCAAATAACTTATTGTTATGTATAATTTCTATCATATTGTATATAATATAATTTATATTGTTATACAGAAAACAATTTTTGTAATTATATAACAGTTAATTATATAAAAAATAATTTAAATTTTTAATTTAAAACAGCACAACTTCAAAAAAGTAGTTCCGATATGAAATTACAAAAATTGTCTTCTGTATATCACTATAAATTATATACACTATGTATTAGAAGCTTTTATGTATTAGAAGCTTGAATTGTATTAAAAAAAATATTTTTTTCATAGAAAATAGAGCATTTTTAAAAACTTTATTGTTTATCATAAACGGTATAGCAGTTTGGTAAACAAACAGACTGACGAACGAACGATCAGACAAGGTGAAACTAATATTTTTTTAATAAACCGCAAGAGCATATTCGGTTACCTCCCAAAAATATTTCTTAACACTTCTTTTATAGTTGCCCTCTCAACATAATTGCCACCAAATCATTTGAAAAAATTAATGACGTTAAAAATTTCTACCAGTTATGTAATTTCACATTAATATGACATGTAAATGACAAGTAAATAAAATAAAAAATTTAATTCGAAAATTAAATAAAACAAGAAATATTTAAAAGTCCTGTTCTCCCAGCCAGGAAATGAAAAAAAACCACAATAATTTTACTTAGGGAAACGCATATAATTTGGTGGTTTTATATTCAATTGCATATGGAAGGCAAAAAGTAGTGAAAAAAGCTGTTGCTGTTAATTCGTAAATGAAGAAAAGAAAAAGTACAAAAATGCCCGAAATTTTTTTAATTTGATGCAATTTTCATTATTACCTTTATCTCTTTATTATTGTTACAATTTTTTTTTCTAAAATAAAGTCATCAATCAAAAATTTTACTTACAAATCTGCTTTTTTGAAATAAAAAGTATGTCAAACAACTTTTTCTCTTTTTTGGAAAACTCTCAAGCGTTAAAAATTAAATGCACTCTTTTATTTTTATTTCTAAAAGAAACCAACTGATCAACTTTCTCTCTCTTTTACACAAATATATTAATCGAATATGCAATGTGTAGTTAAATTTTCTTTTTCATTTTTTTTTCTTTATTTCTCAGCACGATAATAATAGGGTACAGCGCTTCTTTGACAAGTCAAAGTATAAATCAATTATGGTGGGCAGAATTGCTATTTGAAACGATCAACTTAAACATTGTATGTATAATGGGGGAAAAAAAACAGCAGCAATATTAATTAAATAAATTTTTCATAATAAATCATAATATTTTAAAACATTTATTCAAATTGCATACATTATTGCTTTATTTTCTATTGTAACCTTGTAAGCGTAAGATCCGTTTAATGTAAAATCAGTTTAACTTAATTATTATGCTTTTTAAATTTTTTCCATTTTAATATTGAATTTTATTTTATAACTTTTAGTTTAACTGAGAAATTTTTTTAATATGTGTAAGAAATGTCCATATGCTTGAGGTCTTTTGATCAAAATTTCTTGTGAAACGTGTAACTTTTGAGTATCTGACTTGGAATTTTAATTATTTCTTGTCCGAGGATTGTATACTTTCTCTTACAGACAAAATCCCCGAGATTTTTCAATATTCCAAAAGAATTTCTAAGTTTTTTTACCCATCAACGAGAAATGATACCCATAATTTGTTGAATGAGCTCTTTACCTAGTTGCTTTTTTCTTAAACCTTATGTTCAATGCAAGTTTTAAAAAAAAAATCATAAAGAGCTTTGCACTACTTGCATTTATTAATAAGTATTTACATTTCTACTTTGTGGAATTTTTTTTCCTTCTTCATTCCTAGGAGGAGCATAGGGCCAGTGCATGATATCATAGATAGTCATGGTCTATTTTCAATGCGTCATACAGTTTTAACTACAGGTGTCGACAGGTGATTAGCCTGTCGACTCTGTAGAAGAATATTTGATGATCATTGAATATTAATTTAATTTTTAATTCAACATAATTCTTAACTCTCTTTACTATAAGTGCCAAATTGAATTAAAACATCATGTACATATACATACATTAAGGAATAATCCAAAATTATTTTTTAAAATGGGCATTTCAAATTTACATCCAATTAAATCCCATAAAAGTAGAAGACGTTAAATTTTTCATCGACCGAAATTTTATAAATCAATTCGTCCAAAAATTACCGAATTTATGGTTAAGATATTATGTAAATAAGCGGATGTAAATAAATAATAAAAATATTATAAAGCCTAAATTTTGAAAAAAAAAAATAAAATATACAAAAAAATTACTAGACAACAGCAATAAATTTGTACATTGACTGATCTGTCATTAGTCAACAGCTTTTTATTATACATGTTTTTTTTTCTATTTTTTTCTTATTATTGCTTGTGCTGCAGTTCAATAAAATGTTTTGGACCAAATACAAAATAAAAATCAATAAAAAAAAAGCAAAAGTAACAAAATGCAATATTTGCAAGCTCACCTTGGCTCACATTATCTACAGTAAAGCTAACAGTCATATGGTATAGAAGATTTTTATGGCAACAAAAAAAAAGTAACACATGTAGAAAAAATAGCAGTTATAAAAACTAGTCGAAAGTTGCACATAAAAAAAAAAGTTTAAAACAACTTTTTTAATTTTATTCTGTTTTTTTTTTTTTGTGTAATGCTGTAATTGAAAGCGGTAGACATGTTGTCTAGTTGGTTGTATAAAGTAAAAAGACTACGAATTAAATTTGATTTTAATCATATTTAATATGGTGCATCAACTTTTTCACAAAATATATTTTTTTTTAAATAATAGTATACTTTTAAAGGATAGTTATATAAATTTTAATAGCAAAATATGTGTAGGAATAACAACCAATATTTAATTAATAATTAATTTTAATTTGATACATAAAAACTATACCCAATAAAATATAACATGCATAATAAATAAAAGAAAAATTGGAAGAGTTATGAGTAAACCAATAAATTTTAATAAAATAATTGGAAAACGAGAATAGAGAGAGTTGACCTTGTCAACTATGTGATACTCGTACAAATGAATAGTTTTAAGATCTGTGTGTTAATTACCACACTCTCCTGTACGTACTCCTGGTTTTTTATTCGTTTATGCAAAATTTCAGCACTGTAATTTTAATCATTTTTCACAATATACGACCGAATGACTTTCGAAGCTTTACGACCAAATGACTTTCGAAGTAAAAGCTCTAATAAAATATTTACTTGTTTTTTTCAGGTAACAAGTGTTATTTTGCGAACAGAAAACTTATAAAATCAAGACTTTTAAAAAGAAATGTTAAGATACAAATATATAAAACTCGAACTCGTCCTGTTGTAACATATAGTTGCGGAATATGGACATTGAATACTGAGAAAAATATTTGATGCAATAAGACTAGAAAACGGAGAATATAGACGTAGAAATAACAATGAAATTAATGATCTTATTAAAAATGAAGACTTCACACGTTTTAGTAAATCACATTGATTAAGGTTGGTAGGACATGTTATGCGAATAAATGAAAATATGCCACAATATAGAATTTTACAAAGCCGACCTACATTTAATCGCAACAGAGGAAGGCCAAGAACAAGACTGAAAGATAACATTAAAAATGACACTATTTAACTTCAAGTCAGAAACTGAAAAACAGAGGATAAAAATTAAGAAATATGGAGGTAAATCGTAAAGAAGGCTAAAGCTTACAAAGAGCTGTAGAGCCAAAGAAGAAGAAGAAGATTTTAACACACATAATATCCCCAATAGTATTTTTGCTTTTGCAAAATTTTATTGCCTCAATCACATCCATTTTAAATAGAGTTCCGGTGTTTATTGCTTTAAATCATTTGTGAAAATTTGGTGAACTTAGCTCAATTAGTTTGTGAGTTATCGCTGGAACGGACGGACAGACAAACATGATTAAATCGACTTAGAATTCGACGCTGGCCAAAAACGCACACTTACATACATTTATATTCCAGATCATTATTTCTTAGCGTTACAAACGGTAAAGCAAATTTATTATACCCTTTGAACATACGTTCGTACGGGTATAAAAAACAACGTCACTTTTTATACAATGTTGTCTTAAATCTTTTTAAAAGTAATTAATTGAAAAGTTGATCATATCCTATTTACACATTAAGTCAACAAGTGCAATAATATTTTCAAAGATTTATGAGTTATTGCAATTTATATTGAAAATAAAAAAAAATAATGCAGAAAACAACCGAGCATTTCATACGATCATATTTTTTTAAGATTTTATGGCCAAACCATTTAATTTTTATAATGTTGTAATTTATTTCAATGATTTCAACTTTGTAACAAGTAGAATTTGATTAAGGGAAAGTTTAAAACTTTCACTGTGCTTCTATTTAATTGCTTCGCCTTTTTTATGCTTTTTTATGCAGTGGCAACTGACACCCAATTCGACCTTTCGCACGCCATGCTATTCCTATTATATCACTTTAATTTTTGGATTGCTACAACTAATTTTCAGTATTGAATCAACACTGATCCCAGACAAGTTTATATATAGGAATCATAACGCCACTTATGCTTAAAATTAAAGTATAAGCAGCAGATTGTGTCACATAACAAGAATTTTTATAAGTAAATTAATTAAATATAAAAAAAGAGTTCAAAGAGAACAACTAATTAAAATTGAGTAATAAAAATTTTTAATTGAAATCTAAAAATTATAATTAATTTTTATAGTATTTTAATATTAAAACTTACCAGAATTTTCATGATGTGAATGCTCATGATGATCTGTTGGTAAATGATGAAGTTGATGCAAATGAGCATAAAAATGATGATGATGAAGGACACATGCTAAATCTGTACAATTTAACATTTTTAAAAAATATCTGAAATAAAAAAAAAAAATTTTATAAATACAGAATTAACAAAATGAGAAAAATTAATTTAAATATTAAATAATTGTTAAAAAAAATTTTTTAAAATTTTTTTTAAAAAGAGTTTAAAACCTCTTGCTTCTCTTGAAGAATGCAGTGCTTTTATTGATTAATTTCAAATTGCTTTAAAAATCCATGTGCAAAAATACAACTCTATCGGGTACATATTATACGTTTTGTGTAGATTTTTCACGACATCTTCCAATTTTCATAGTGGCTAACAAAAAGTTTCATGTAAGAACTGCTAAAGTTCATGAATAAAATATGAGACGCTAATTACAGGCCTCTTAATTAATCCACCTAAATATTATGTTTTAAAAGAAGTAAAATACTTATGGAACGTTGAATTTAAAGATTGCTTTAACAAAAATTTCGCACTTCTTCTTATAATAACCAAAAGTTAGGAGGTAGGATGACTCATTTGCATGTTTTACACTGCTTTTTATTTTACAAAATTTTTTAAAAAATTGAAACGTGAAAATGCATAGAAAATTTTTCCATTTTATTAAGATTATTGATTAATTATTAAGATTTTTGAAAAATTATTGTATAACAAAATGACAATTTTAATAATAAATGTAAATTAGAGGTATATAAAAATATTATCAATTGAATAATTTAAAGAGAATTATTAAAACTCCTTGTTATTCTAATTATATGAGCAATGAATGCATGTATAGAATTTATTAAAATTATCTTGATTAATTAATAGTTACGAACTTATGTAAGAATTATTTATTATGAAATTTTATTTTTATGTGCATACTTGTATATTTCATAATATTGTACGTGAGTACTTAACATCCATACTGTTTTTTTGTTCACAATTACATCTTACATCATTCAAAAGTTATTCTATTGCAAATTATTCTATTTTAATAACTTTCAAATATATATTTACAGTAAACATCACACTTTAGCCATGATTTCATTGTATTTTTGAATAATGTTCATCATTAATTAATTAAACACCTTAATAACATTTCATATGCATATATATACTTATATACATACATATATTTCATAATTTAACAATTTAATTAAAGTTTTCTATATTAATTTGACGTAAATTGGAAAAAAAAATATGTTAATTATCACTTAACTATATTGTTGTGAATTATAAATAAAATTGGTGTATAAAATGCACATATATGATTTATTACTTTAATGAAGGACAATAAATTTAATAGTAATTAAAACAAGTGATTTAAAAATTGAAATAAATTTTAACTTGCTTTGCTGAATTCGTTTTTCTTCTTCTGCTACAATATTCATGATAAGCAAAACGATATTGCAGGGGATGGATGATATGTTGAATATAATATTATTTGTACAAGAACAATTTTGCATCTTCCTGGCTTAATGAATTGTTTAACTTATTGCCGTAAATCGCAACGAGGAAACTAAGAAAAATACGCGGTTTTAGGAAAATTACTGTACTAATCTTAAAATTCCATGAAAAAACCCAATTTCTATGCGCTTCCCATTCTTACTGAATATTTTGAGACACGCAAAAAACTTTGTAAGGCGTAAGAGATAGGTATAGACGAAGTATAGGAATACGGTAAAAAATGAGGAAATTTAGAAAATACGCGTTCTGTACTATAAAGCTGTGTATCATCTATTAATTTATATCATAAATTTTTAATCTAAAATTATTTGATCAATTTTTTTTTTTTTTGAAAAATCTGATTTAAATTCTTTAAGGCCACAAATTCTGTTAAAATTAACGGCCTTTTATGCGCTTTTCAGTTCTTTCATCTAAAATATATTAGGATAGGCGTTTTTGGGATCCAGGTTCAAACTATGTTTATTTACATTTAAATGGAGCGGGTATGTAAGCTTTTACTCTTGTGACGGAAAGAAGATTAAATAAGTTTTCTCTATAACTTTTTAAATATGTACTTTTCGAGAATATTAGTGTATAAAATGAAGTTCTTGCTTGCTTATTAATAATATTTTTATAATTAAAGTTTAAGCAATTCGAAATTAACACTAGTTAGTTAAAAAGCAATTTTATCTTGAATTATGAACTAAAATTTTTATACTATTCTTATACAGAAATCACCATTATTCAAATTTAAATGATTTTTCTTCAATATCTACACTTATTTATTATTTGCTATACTTGTTTTAAACACTAACAAATTCCTTAGAAAAAAAAAAACAAATATTTTTCAATCTTTTTTCCGATTCCTGTATTACTTAAATAATGGCATTCAAATAAGTTGTAGAAGCACAATTAAAAATAATATTCCATAAATTATTGAAAATAATAAAATTATTATACAAAAAAAATAGGTGATTTCAAAACACCCATTATTCGTACTAGTATTTTTATAAGCTATTTTTTAATAAAAAAATAAAATTAATTAAATTTGTTCATTGTTTTTCGTCTGCTAAAATAGAAATGAATAAAAATCGCTAACCGAAATTCAATTGAAAGTGAATAGAAATAAAATAAAAGTATAAAAGAAAAATAAAACCATAATGATCCGGAAGTGAACGTGAATGTGTTTCTCTTTTGTTTCTTATTTCATTAACCTATTAAATGTCGTTTAAACAATTTGATTTAGAGTTCCTTATGCTGAATTAATGAAAAATACAAGTCGATTACAATTTTTCTTTTTGCACATTATTAAAAAAAAATAAGAGAAGTTGCCAAATTAAGAAATCTTTTATTTCTTTTTAGAATTTTAGTATAATTTGTAAAACTGATATAAGATGATTACGATATAAGTATTTGTTATGATATAGACCTTATATTTTTCAAACAGCTTGATTCACATAAATCTTCTGTTATTTAAAGTTATTATTCTACTATAACACGATCTTTTTCAATTTATTCTTAAGAGACATTTTTCTTTTATAAAAATTTTTCAGGTTTTTTCCGTAAAATGCAATTTTGTTGAATTTTTTTTAACTGTATGGCAATTCTGTATATGTGGTAAAATTATTGTTTTATGAAAAGGCGATAATTTACAAACATTTAGCATGAAATCATATCAAAGAAAACTATCACAAAATTTATTTCAACTTTACAGACTGCAAAGTTAATGTGTAAATTAAATTAATTATATACTTGAAAATGTATAATAAAAAAAATGTAATAAAAAATGTTAAAAGAAAATTGCTTAAAAAAGAAATTTAAAGTTTTAGAAATGTTGACAATTTTAAGTCAAAAAGTAAGTCAAAAACTGCCCGTTTTTATTCATTACGTACAGAAACGAAAAATTGTCGCTTTAAACCTTTAACCATGTTGCAACCAGAACCGATAATTTTGCAGTTAAAGCCTTTCAAAATTGAAAAAAATTTATAATTAACTGCATGCATATGATAGAAATCGTAAATTATGATACAGCTAACATTAACAGGTATGAGTATTGGCTCAACCTCAATAAAAAGCACAATATCGGTAATTCACCTTACAATATCATAATATTTTACTTTAAACAAATATTATTAAAAATGGAAACAACGAAAATGCTATTATTGAATCAAAGAAATCAACAAATATATAAAAAAAATAATAATTAAAAAAAAAAACAAAATTGCATCTCCCTAGGCTAATGTCATTGTATCAATTTTATTATTATAAAATTGCAAAAAAAGAGAAAAATGTTTAAGTATAAAATATAGTGTTGCCATTTTAAATACTTAAAAAGAAACTATTGTGAAAAAAAACCATAATACAAGTGCATAATTTATCTGATATTGAGAGAACATAAATATAATTTATATGCATTCATATATTAGTACATATACATACATCTGCATAACACTACGCAATAAGTAAAAGTGGAATAAATTTTATATAAAAATTGTTAACACAGCCGTATAGAATTATTTATTCGATATGGAAATAGTAAGTATGTCGGTAAAACGACTAATATAACAATATTTGTTATTAATGCCAGTATCTGACTTGTAATCGGCCCATTTTTTAAAATATTAAAAAATAAGGTACTGATCATTGGTTTGCAACGCATTTGTCACTTGATGTTAAAAAAACTACCAAGTGAAGAAATTTTTTAATGGGCTATATAAATTGATTTTTATAGTTCCTATAAGCACTATTATCTTTCATATTATAAATTTATTATCATTATTTATAATCATGTTAAATTGATCTTTTGATAATTTTGTAAAATATTCCAAAAACTTATGACGTTTGTTACTTGTATGATATTCTGTCACGACTTTTGGCATGACCTATAATGCTTAATCAAGCATTATACTGATAATATTTATAATTGCCGATAATATAATATTGAATTATTTAATTGAATATAAAAGTACTAGCACAATTTGATAAATTATTATCGGGACACTCATTAAATAGATATACACATGACATACAACAATATCGGTATTTATATGTACATATGTATACACTTGGACATTGTGTGTAGGCAATGAAAATGTGCATTATTAAAGTGAAAAGTTGTCATTTTTTTTTTCTTCTTATTTATAAAGTAGTTATAAATTTTGCTCTCAGTTCGTTTTTATTTTCTCTTTTTTATTATTTTTATTTTGTTTCAGGAAAGAATGAAATTTCTCGAAGGTTAAAAACTGTTATATGTACTTATATACTATACAAATATAACAAATTATAATATGATGATGAATGATTGAAGGTTAACAACCTACTAGCCTATAAAGTATAACAAACTTGACTTGTTTCGATCATTATTTTCTGTTCATTTCACATATAACTTTTATTTTACTTGCAATTTTCATTTTATAAGTAATAATGTATGCTTCTTTTTAGCAGTGAAATAAATAATATAATAAAATATATTGCAAAAGCATTTAATATAATTTTTACCGAACGCATTGCATACAATAAGGGAGGTGACATGATGGCACCAAATTTCATATTTCAAGTTTCCGATGAAAATCTGTTCTAGAGTGATATCTGTCTGTCTTTCTAATGCATATTTTTCTGAAAT